TACCAAAGAAGAAAAAAGCCAGTCCAGTCACTCAATAGTGTCTGACAGTGAAGTCTAGCAAGTAAATGGTTTTCCTTGCATAATTTTAAATATGAGGACACTGCTAACGTTTAAATTTCACACGATAGGACATACATGAGTCTTTCAATCTTCAACTATCTGTTGTTGATTGGTCACGAATAACTGACTGTACAGATGTAAATGAGGCATGGTCAATATTTCAACATATTTTTATCTCAAATTTGAATATGATAGCGCCACTGAAACGGATAAGAATAAAACAAAGATCAGAAACTTGGGTGACTAAAGATATTCTTTCCCTAATTCAAGAGAGAAATATAGTATACAAAAATGGAGGAAAAGAGCAAAAGATGAGAAGCTCTATAAAAGATACAGAGTATTAAGAAATATGGTCCAAAGAGAGGTGAAAAAGGCTAAACTCGTTTACTTACAAAACAAGATAGAAGAAAATAAACAAGATTCGAAAAAAACTTTGGCAGAATCTAAAAAGCTTAGGATTGAAAAATAAGAAGCGAAAAAAGAGAATCTGTCATTAAAATTGATGGGGAATTATTTCATGATAAGATGGCCATCGCTGATGAATTCAATTCTCATTTCACAAATGTGGCTGCCAAATTAGTAGACAAACTCCCCCCTTCCAAGACTTTTTCAGCGCAGACAATGATTGTATTCGTGACTTTTTACGAAAGAAAAGGTGTACGTGAAAAACAGCTTCGAGTTATTACCAATCAGTGAACAATTTGTTTTCAAAGAGTTACGTAAGTTGAATGTATCAAAAAGTACTGGGTTAGACTTGATTCCAGCTAAATTTCTAAAAGATGGTGCGAAGGTTTTATTTAAGCCTCTAAGTTACTTAATGAACCTATCTATCTTGACGAGTACTTTTTCCAGAGGATATGAAAATAGCAAAAGTGACCCCACCCTTTATAAAAAGAAAGATAAAACTGATGTTAGCAACTATAGACCTATTAGTGTTTTAAGCGTAGCATCAAAGATTCTAGAAAAATCGGTCTGTGTTCAAATTGAAAGATACTTCAAAGAAAATGATATAATTTATGATTTTCAATCTGGTTTTCGACATGATTATTCGACTGAAACATGTCTATTCATTTGACTGAATTATTGAGGAGAGAAACTTCCCAAGGGCGCTTTGTTGGTATGGTGCTCCTTGATCTGCAAAAAGCTTTTGATACAGTTTAATCATTGCGTCTTATTGAAGAAGTTACAACTAATGGGTTTTTGATAAGGCAAGTTTAGATTGGTTTAGATCCTACTTATCTAATCGGCACCAAGTAGTGGCCATTCATGATATTCGTTCCAAACTAATGCCTATAACTTGCGGTGTTCCTCAGGGAAGCATTTTAGGCCCAATTCTATTTTCAAGTTATATAAATGATATGTGTATTTGTATAAAATACTTCAAACTATTATTGTACGCAGATGACAGCGTACTATTCTATTCAAATCCTGATCCTAAATATATTGAGGAAAAGCTCAGTGAACAGCTGTCTACGTGTGTCGATTGGATGACTGATAATAAGCTTTTTTCTTTACACTTGGGAAAAACAGAAAGCATTTTATTTTGTTCTAAAAGTAGTTTCTAAAAAGTCATTTGAATTCAAAGTGACACACAATAATCAAGCAATCAAGAGAAAAGAGTCTGTGAAGTATTTAGGCATTGAGTTGGCTAGCGCAATTTCATTTTCATCTTTAGTAAAATCAGTTGTAAAAAAAGCAAATTCTCGTCTGAAATTTTTGTACAGATATCAAAGTTGTATGGATTTAAAAGCAAGACGTACACTCTGTTTTGCTCTTATTCAATGTTTATTTGACTATGCTAACCCTGCATGGTATAGTAACATAAACAAGTCAGATCAAAAGAAGTTGAAGATTATACAGAACAAAATGGTGAGATTTATCAACTGTTCTGGTCCAAGAACTCATGTTGGCTACAGCGAACTTTCTAAAGCTGGTTTTCTTGA